GGCACGCACTTCATGCACTCAGCCATCTTTCTCCATGAAAAAATTCGATTTTTTAAAATTCTTTTAGTAATATTTTTAAATTTACTGTTCACCGAGTGCAAAGGAGCCCGATCTCAGATTTGGATATTCGCTTCTTACTTCGAGTCAGTTAAGTTAGAGCTAAGTATGCGCGTGCGTCAGGGAGCGAGAATAACGCGTGCGCTGCGACTGACCACGGTGGGTAGACCTTAAGCACCAAGCAATCGCCCATCATCAGCAGCAAGGAGTGAAAAGGAAGAAGAGTAAGCATTCGCGGAGGTTTCTGCAGCACTTTAATCTCGTCCATTCGCCTGGAAGTATCTTTGGACGAGGATCGTCAGACTTTGGGCTTCTTTTCTTACCAAAACTAGATTTGGGCCCTTTTGAGAAACAAAGCTGTTCGGCCCGTGAGGGTAAGATATTGGACTTTACGGGCTGACTTGTATCTGGAGTTTCGTTCCCCAAAAAAAAAAGAATCCTGGAGCATGGTGACACGCACGACGGCATCCATGTCATTCCACTGATGACCATAGGAGGGACGTGCAGACGAGTGCCATCCCAGATTGCCGGCACCCAAACAAACATGCATGCCACTCTGTCGTCTTCACCATCGCCTCCTTGTTCAACCTCACGCCCATCCTCTCCTTCATGCATATGTCCCGGCTTCGGTTGGCCCCAAGCAGCTAAGCTAGCGCGAGATTGCGAAGTTCAACAGGGGGCTAGCTGGCTTAGCCTTGCTGCCGTCCAAGTTCAAGGTTGCTTCTGCTTTCTGGCACTACTCAGCAATGCTCGCATCCAAGCCCAAGTAAGTGATTATTCTTGTCCATCTTCTGCGTTTCAAGGACTTGAGATGTCCATTTTCTCTTATGTTCTCAGCATACCATCTGCTTTCAACAAATTCAGCCGTTTAGCTCACGAACTACGTACAAATTGCCAAAACCCTCGACGAAACTTTCATGCTCCTTTTCATAGATAGTCCTTCAGTAAGTAGTTGTACTCCCTCCGACGGATTTGGCTAAATCAGCAACAGTTAATATGGATCGAAGTGACTAGTTTTTAATAGAAACTCTGATCTGACGCCTGGCATTGCTGAAATTAAAGCAGGGCAAGTCTGGCTGAACCTTCCAACCACAAGGAACCAGCTAGTTCCAGTTCCGGTTCCAACTACAGCAGGGCTCACGCTTCAGCACCTAGAGTGAGCAGGCTAGCCAAACCTGCTGCAGCTGCAGGATCAAGCAAGCAAGCAGCAGAGGCCAGGGCGCCTTCCCCACTACACAATGCTGCCCGTCCCGCCGCCGCCGCTCCGCTCGACAAGTCCGTCGATGCCGCTCAAAAGCCATCACCGGGAGAACGCCGGTCGAACTTCAAGGCCTCGCCGCACCGTACCTCTACTACCCCAGACGTGAGACAAAAAACTCCCGACGTGAGTCAACGAAACACAGGCAAAAAAATCATGTGTATTTGCCATTCCATTCGTGCGCCTCGTGAATGATTTTCTTGTGTTTCCAGAGGCAGCCGAGGATCGCCAAGGCATCGGAGCTGCAGGCGCAGCTGAACCTTGTCCAGGAAGACCTCAAGAACGCCAGGGAGCACCTGGCCAACATCGACAAGGACAGAGCCCAGGTCCATGACGACCTGGTGCTCACCAAGACGCTGGCCGACGAGGCCTACCAGAAGCTCGAGGAGTCCCTCGCCATGCAGCGGCGAGCAGAAGAGGCGCTGGAGATCGAGAGGTTCAAGTCCGTCGAGCGGGAGCAGGCGAGCATCGAGCTCGCCCGGAGGAAGGAGGAGGAGTGGCAGCGGAAGCACGCCGACGTCACGAAGCGCCATGCCCAGGACGTCAATTCCCTCGCTAAGGTGACCAAGGAGCTCGAGAATACCAAGGGTGAGCTGGCGGTGACCGCCCAGGCCAAGAACTCAGCCCTCAGCCGTGTTGACGAGGCCGAGAAGACCATGCATGGAAATGCAAAAAGGATGGAGATACTGATGGCTGAGGTGACCCGGCTCAAGTCTGAGATGGGGAGCAGAGAAAAAGGAGCAGAAGAGATCATCGACAAGCTGCGCTCGGAGGCCTCAGAGCTGCGAGCTGAGCTCCAGAGAGCAATGGCGTTTCAGGAGAAGCTGGTCAGAGCAGAAGAAGTTGTCAAGGGGCTCAAGGTCGACATTGCATACGCCAAGAGGGCAGAGATGGATGCAGACCAGTCGGCGCAAGGGTGGAAGACCAAGGCAGCGGCGCTGGAAGATCGCCTAGTGGCCATCACCTCACTGAACAAATCCAACGAGGAGGCACTGGCGTCCCTGACAAAGAGTTTCCAGGAAGCACAGTCGCAGGTCCTCCAGCTGACAGAGAAAGCTACGGCATCAGAGGGCGAAGCCAGCGAGTACAAGGAAGGATTCCTCGAGACGAACAGGCGACTCGACATCATGAGGAAGGAGGCATCTGAACTGCAGGCCACCATTGACAGCCTGAAGTCTGAACACGAGCTACTGAATGAGGCACATCGGCAGGTTGTCAGCAACGAGAAGGCGGCGAGCTCGCAGGTCGGTGTGCTCGGTGGAGACAAGGTGAGGCTTCAGCAGGAGCTTGATGAGGCCAGGGAGGAGAGGAACAAGGCCAAGAAAGGAGTCGAGGAATTAGCAGTTGCTCTACGTCAGGTGTCAGCAGAAGCAAGAGAAGCCAAGGAGAGGGTCCTGGCAAAGCAGACTGAGTTGGATCACGCACAGCTTCAGATATCCGAGCTGAAGACGGAAAGCAAGAATGCAGAAGACAAGTACCAGCTGATGCTTCAAGAATCCAACTGCCTGAAGAAAAAGGCTGAGATGCTGGAATCAGAGGCCAAGAATGCAAAAGAGAAGTACGAGTTAATTCTTGATGAATCCAACTACCTCAAGAAAACAGTCGAGAGGTTGGGTTCAGAAGCCAAGATTTTACAGGATGATCGGGTGTCGAAGGAGGTCGGGTTTGCGGAAATGCTCAGGAGATCAGAGGAGGAGGCAAGCTATGTCAAGTCAGAAATGAGCAAGCTCATGGAGTCGCTTGCAGTTGCAGAGAAGGAAGTGCAGGAGCTCAAGGCAGAGAAAACACAGCTGGTTCATCAACTGGAAGAAGGATTCGACAGTACCATGATGGATGCCGCAAGCTCAAGTGCAGAACAACCAATGGTGACCGAGAGCTCCCACCTCAAGGATCTGCTGTCAACCAAGGAGAAGGAGGTGCTTGCTTTGAATCATCAAGTCACTGAGCTGCGGCTCAGAGAGGCAGCCGCTCTGGCGAAAGCCGACGAAGCCTCAAAATTGATGGATGCCGCAAGCTCGAGGGCAGAACAATCAATGGTGGCCGAGAGCTCGCACCTCAAAGATCTGCTGTCAACCAAGGAGAAGGAGGTGCTTGCTTTGGATCACCAAGTCACTGAGCTGCGGCTCAGAGAGGCGGCCGCTCTGGCGAAAGCCGACGAAGCCTCAAAATTGATGGATGCCGCAAGCTCGAGTGCAGAACAATCAATGGTAGCCGAGAGCTCACGCCTCAAGGATCTGCTGTCAACCAAGGAGAAGGAGGTGCTTGCTTTGGGTCATCAAGTCACTGAGCTGCGGCTCAGAGAGGAGGCCGCTCTGGCGAAAGCCGACGAAGCCTCGAAATTGCTGGCAGAGGCAACGGCGAGGAAAGCCGGAGAGGAAGAGGCAGCTAGGAGTGCTGAGAAGTCCAACACACTACTCGTCAAGCTAGAGATGGACACCATGCTCCAATCACAGAGAGCCGCGGAGCACGAGGCGAAGAATGCCAAGGATAACATGGTGCAGCTGCAGAGCAAGCTGAGGCTGGTGGAGTCCAAGATCACTGAGGCCAACTTGACGGCAGAGGAAGAGAAGATCAGCAGCCTGAGGTTGAAGGAGACGCTGGCCGAGAAGGAGGAGGAGCTCCAGAGCATCGCAAGGGAGAATGATGGCCTGCGGACAAGGGAAGCGGCTGCACGAGCCAAGGCCGACGAGCTTGCTGCAATGCTCGTGGAGGCCACCGCCATGAAAGGAGGAGATCAGTCAGCTGGTCGGAGCCCGGAGAAGCAGCCAAATGTGTTCCGCAAGATGATGTGCTCACCCATGGAAAACGCCGCACGAGGCGATCATGAAGATCGCAGGAACAGCGACAGGATCGTCCAAGTGCTCGAGGAGATCAAGCATGTGGAAGTGGAGACTGTCAGGCAGGTGAAACATGAAAGAGAGGAGGTGTCAGTGGAGGCTAACTCCATGGAGAACAGCAAGATCCTAGAAGATGACCTGTGCAAAGGGATGATGAGCAATGGCGTAGACACCGAGTCGAGCGACGACGATGACATCGATTCGCAGGGAGAAGACGGAGCTGCAGATCAAATGGGTGGCCTTCTGATGCATGGACCGAGATCATCTTTCAAGCAGGAGCATCACAGCCATAAGAAGAAGAAGAAGGCATTGCTGAGGAAATTCGGGAGCATGCTGAAGAAGAAAGCTCACTTCACCAAGCTGAACAAACACTCCTAGGCTCCTAGCCTAGAAAAAAAATCAAAACTGTTATTACTTCTTAAAAAAAGTCATTATTTTCCTTCTGAATTTTTGAACAGTTTTCAACTACTGTGGTTGTAGCAAGTGGAGGTGTGAACCATAAAAGGACACATGACGCGAGTAGCTGTGCCCACTATCTAGAGAAAGAAAGAGAAAAGCCACTTGCATTGTATTTCTATCCCTGTCATTTAGTTAATTCTTCCTGTACCTTGGCGGCACATTCAGGGTTCATCGGTTCAGCAACCATTCTTTTATTATATTATAAGATGCTAAATGCCAAATTCGAAATCTTATTTTAAGGGCTTGTATTATCATGCACGCTCTGGACTTTAGCTATGAGAATATCTACGTAGCAGGTTTTGTTTTCCCACTAACTGTAACATTCATCCAAGGGGCCTTTGAGGTAGCAGGAAAAAGAGGTTCAGTTCAAGTTGTTCAGGAAAGTAAAGATGGGCTTGAGACTGAAGAATGTTACCATTAAACGCTGGGAGGCTCAGCACCTAGCCTCCAGCCCAGGTCAAAGATTTCTGCACCACCAAGGATGGATGGCATGTCCCTGTCGTCTCCAGCTGCACAAACATCTCAAGGGATTAGGATCTACATGCCTCTTGGAGCCACCAATGGGTCAATAACTAGCTTATGGATTTCTGCCCATGGTTTTTGTCCTTCGGTTTATATTTTCTTCCAGATTCATTCAATAATTGCTGAAGAACATCTGGCCTAGCCAGTAGCTCTGGTAAACTATTGCTGGTTGCCAATCAAACAATAGCAAGCAAGCAAGCAGATGGACGGATCAACAGGTCAGTGTGCGGAGCAAGGCACATCACCATCATCATCTCTGAGCCTTTTCCCATATTCTTCGTTCTCTTTTGGAGGTGCATGCTGATTTCTCCACAAGAACTGAGAGATAAAAGAAAGCATAAGAAAAACACACATGATGATGAGACCATGACAGCCACTTCACTTTCTTTAGTTTAGTCAGGTTAGTGCCAGATCAACAGAATTGCTTGCAACACACAGTTTAGTCTACTGTCCGAGTTCATGCGTCCACACACAAGGAACCAGGTTGCTCATTCAGAAGTCAACTGTTCATAAAAAACAAATATATGTACACGATCTAACTAATGCTTACTGGAATTAGCCCTTTATCTGAGCAGAGACATGAATAGCTGCGAAATTTCCGGTTGATTGGACGGTCGCAGATATGATCAAACTAATTGTTCTTCACACGGACACGCCATGACCTGTTCAGCTTAGATATAATTCAGCAAAGGTAGTTCGGACTATTTTTTTTTTAGCAAAGCTAGATTCCTTCTTTTTATCAGTTGTTGTCTCAAACTTCACAGGTACAATAGGGCCGTATCAACAATAAGATGTGTTATTGTCCTGGTGCTTTCAGGACAGAAAGAACAAATTTGGATGAAGCTACAACGGTCCCACATATTAATCTGGAGGGAACTTCAAGCATGTCCTCAGCCCCAAAAGTAATGTAACACACCTAACCAGCAGATGTTTACGGTTACGACAACATGTAAGAACATTTTGAACACTTGTAAGCTAACTAACATGATATGCATGGTTGCTACCGATAAGAACACTTGAAGATATGTACAGATCAGAACTGACAGATTGTTGATCACAGAGTCCTGCTACTCTATTGCAGCAGTGCATTGTATAATTGACATCTGAGAGATAATTACATATTCACTATAAAGACAATTTCACATTCCAATGGACAGAACGGTCAAGTGGTGTAACACCAAACATTGCATCTTTAAGATTGATGTCTGCAACCAAATTACAAAAGCTGTGAACACCAAACATTGCATCTTTAAGATTGATGTCTGCAACCAAATTACAAAAGCTGTGAACACGTATTTGACTGATAAAGTAAGTTATGGAAAGGTTATCTTCTTCAAGAACATGTTTCTTTGGGTGCATACCATGCACTGAGGTTGAAGTAAGGAAGTCTAATTTTATGTTAGAAGCTAACAATTATATTGTGCATACAACAAAGGGATATGTGACTGACCAAAGTATCGAAACAACCGATCTGCTTCAAAACACTAAAGGGACAGGATGCATACGATGCTATCATGCAGATATCAGTAATACTGCTGACTAAGCTACTGGCTATCATGACGTTAAATTGTAGATAACATGTATATGAAGTGAATAAACATTCAGGCCACGCTAACAAACTTTATCTCATGTATGACTGTATGGGCATGTCTAGCGCAAGATAGCATGATGCTCCCAAGAAGAAATAGACATACCCTTGATGCATTAAACCTCAATCGTACTTGGATTGTTAATTTCCAGATAAGCTGGGCTATGACATAATAACAAGTTACCTTCCCTCTCAAAAATACAAGTAGAAGAAAAGGGGAAAACAATTATGTTTCCTGAATAGGCATACCAACAGCAATCATGAGCGAAATATTTGTCAGAAAGAGCTCATCTTTCTTGAACTAAAAGTACAATTACATGTTTCAAGCCTATCCACAAAAGAATCTACACTACAACATTCCCAGTTCTTACTGTCCTCCTTTTGCAGCCAAGAAAGTGAACAAATTGAAAAATTTCCCCAGTTATACAATTACAAATATGTAACCAACAGCCTTTACCGAAGCCTTACAGACTGATGCTAACCGCACAGCAGCAATTAGCAGCAACAAATATTGGTGTCGAGAGCTACAACCCACCTGTTTCACCTCCGCCGGATGAACCAATTCCCATCACTGTAGCTACCTCCCTACCGTCAAATGTTACAGGGGCGACTGCTGACCGATGCTACATATCTCTCCACCGTGGACTCAGCAAGGGAAAGAATCCGGACGGTGAGAGCAGCCCCGACGGCGACTGCGGGAACCATAGCCCTGGCGAAGGCGGCGGCGGCATGGGCCCTGGCCCCAGGATCCCTGTTCCTGGCAGCGGTGACAACAAGGGGAAGTTTGGCGTGAGCGGAGGGGGTTGCTGGAACCCCGGCGAGAGGAGCGGGTAGGGCGACCTGGGCGTCGGCGAGAGCAAATTGAGGAATCCGGTCGGCGAAGGGAGTATCCCGGGCGACGGCACCGGCGGCGGGGGCGGGTGATAAGGGTGCTGCGGAGGCCCCCGTCCGGCAGCTGCTGCTGCAGCCGCGGCATGAGCATGGGCTGCAGCGGCCGCCGCGGCGGCAGCCCCGGGAGGAGTGGCGCTGAAGAGGGAGTTCTCGAGGATGCGCATGTAGGCAGAGACGGGCGAGTCGGCCCAGGCGGGCCCCGGCGGAGGCATGG